TAATGTAAAGTCATCACTGCAGAGTCTTTGAACATGAAGTTCAGTTTTGGTCAAATGTTCACTCAAATTCAGGAAGTGAGATGAAGTCCGCCTCCCTCCCTCCTAATGTCTCTGTTTCCTTAAAAGTAGCTGGAACTGTTGTATTCAAAGAGATAAAAGCTTAACTTTGTCACTCAGTAACCACACAGTGAGCTACTTCCTGAGGCTCATGGGAAATGTTTTTGAGATCGAACAAACTTTGACCGACTTTAAAATGGCAGGTTGTTCAGACTGCAGCAGATAATGGTTTAGTTACAAGCAGACTGAAACTCACTGAGATGAAACTGAAGAAACAACCAAAATCCATTTCCTATTTCTTGTAACTGTTGTATAGCTATGACCGATCAGCTATGACCTGAAGTGAATCCATTCTTATGGAATGGAAACAGGGAGAAACAGCTGAGGTATGCCAGGATTGGTATACAGTTGTAGCAGTAATTCTCTTCATGCTTTCCTTGCAGATGGCGGTTGGGTCATGGGTTCAGTCGACATAATGGAGGGTCACATTTTATGTTGATAGAATTTGTTTTTATGCTGAGTTTGGTGTTTTTGTTTGTTTGTACTGCAGTTTGCTCACTAACAGGAGACTCCCAGTACCTTAGCAATGACTTGTTGGCTTTCTGTACTGTTTTATTATTTGCCCCTTTTTAATGGTGACTCATTGTGAGCATGTTGCTGCAGGTATTCTGAAGATAGGTGTGCACGTGTGTGAAATTCAACAGAACGCTCTGCTGTGCTGCTTTCATACGGAGCCCCGCAGGGGACATGGGAGAAAAAAAAATTAAGACGGATCTTGCAAAACTTTTGCGAGATCTCGCAAAACAAACTCGGATCTCGCAAAACTTTTGCGAGATCCCGAGCCCTTCGTACAGAGCCCCGCTGGGGACATGGGAGAAAAAAACATTAAGACGGACTTTTGCGAGATCTCGCAAAACAAACTCGGGATCTCGCAAGTTTTGCGAGATCCCGAGTTTGTTTTGCAAACGTTTTAGCCGCATTTTTCGGAGGCCGCCAGCTCGAAGCCGACCAGGAGGTCGAGGCACGATGTGCCGGGAAAGCGGTGTTCCTCCCGGCTGTAGTAGGTCTCGACCTCCCGTTAGCTTCGAGCTGGTGGGTGTCAGATCTCCGAAAACGT